TCTTTCCCTCTCTCCCGGTGCCTCCCCTTTCTTTCTCTCTTTTCATAAATCAACCCCTCTTCCCCTGGGCCTGTCTTCCTCTCTTCCGCGATCTTTCTACCTTTCTTGTCCATTTTCTATCAGAATGGTTGTTTCTTTTGCTTGCCCTTGCCGCTATCTATTGTCATGCGAAGCGTTCGTGTTTCGTGGATGTCGACAGTGAATTCTCTTTGCTCGCGCCTTCAGTGAGTGATAGGAACGTAATCGCGCGTTCAGTGTCACGATTTCGGACTCGCGCGAATGGACCGATCTCGGAGCCAGCCGTTTTGATAAGAGCGAAAGGAATCAGCCGCCAAGCATCAGGAATATCGTCAAGTTTTGCGTCGCATGTTGATCGTATCGATCACGTTCTTGTCTGGCAATCGCGAGGAACCGCTCGCTAAACTTGCGAGATAAGCCGAACGGGTGTGGTATCGCGAAAGAGAGAGAGAGAGAAAAAGAGAGAGAGAGGAAAACCGCGTAATTCGAAGAAAACAGAAGAGTGTGGAAGGATCACTCGACAACCAGGAAAGAATCACGAAAGTGCCGGAGTGTGAATCGAGAGTGAACGGTTTTCGACAAAGTGGCAGAAGTGCCATTAGTCGAACCGCCGCGATCAAGCCGCGAACCTCGATGTTACCGGAGCATTAACCGCACCCGGTTGAAACGTTTCGTCTTGTGTCCGAGATTGTTAGAATTCATGTCGCGTGTATACTCTCCATTTTCAACGAGATAACAATGTGAATTCCGCGATATACAGATATTGATATGCGCCTTACAGCTAAATAATTCTCTGAAGAAGGTTTTCCGTTCGCGTGAGAGAGAATTCAGTTTGAGATAAGTCGAGGACGAACTTTGCCAATTGACATTCACATATATGTATTTCCCGTATCTGAAGCAATTTGATCCTCGCTGAATTCTGTAGCGTTCCGAAAAGGGACGGGAGGGGGCAGAAAGGGGGTGAACGACGTGGAAGTTTCGCGAATTTAAAGGGTACGGCCGGTACGAAAGGCTTCAAGATTGCTCGAAAACCGTCGCGCGACGTGCGCAGGAGTGGCAGAGCTGCGGAAATAGGGGGTGCCGGCGTAATGCAGCGGGTGGGCGCAGCCGGGGGGCCCGGGCCCATCGGCTTCCAGGGCCCTCCGAGATCACTGAAAATCTCACCGGTCAACATACAGGATCAGCCCAACGATCCCACGCAGAGTAAGTGCCCCAATTTTCTTCCTCTTCTTTTACGGATATCCGTCTCTCTTTTGGGACACGCGATCGGTGAAGAAAATCTCGCAATGATCTAATAATTCACAAGGAATTATTTTTTCACGATGCAGAATTTTTATTTACTATTATCTTATTTGTGTGGGTGTGTGTATGAATGTTTATATATAAATATTATATTAGCAAACCCGTACATGTGTTTCGATATTATTTATAACGCAATTCTAATAAAAAAAGTGTATTAATAAATAATATATAAGTAATATATAAAATCTATTCTCAGGGTAAAACTCACTTCTATTTTCAAATAGACTCTTCTTCAGCAATGTATGTAGTTTTCATTCAGACTCTCCAAGTACAAAAATTAGAATCCGACTGCGAAATATATTTAATTTCTTATCAATCTCTTTTTATTCACGAAATTTTCGTATATACGCGTGCGATAAAAATCTCATCTTTATTTTCTCTTTGCCCAGAAAATAAATTGACGTGAATAGAATCAGTTAAAAAAATGGTAATACTAGTGATATTTCTGATAATAAATATAATTGAGTTATCGCTTCTCAAATAAAGATTGTGTGTGTGTGTGTGTGTGCTTATTAAATAAAAATAGTTGAGATAATAAAGATATCCCGCTGTCACACAGGTTATTATCCTTTCGTCATAATTTTGATTGACTCTACATATTACTGCTAATTTCTGTTCCATTAGAACCGATTTTTTATTTAAAGACGAACTATGGTTTTCTTTTCCATCAATTAACGGTAATCTGCAATTCATTACATGTCGGTGATTAAATCAATACTTAAAAATCCGTCCGCCCGATAATTAAAATCATTGCCACTTTTCATTGCGCGCGCGTCGCGTAATTAGATTGTTTAAATAATTATTTTCTCGTATTCGCTACTCTTTGCCGCAGAGTCATTAAATCAAAAGACAGGTACATTACTAGTATACGTGTAATATGTGATGCATCTATCGACGAACGCATCACGAACGAAAATCGATGGGTCTACTTCGAATTATTTTTCTGAGTATATATGTATATGTTTAAACTCGGTAATATCCTACTCTGGCTTATACGTTGAAATAATCACGGAATTAACGATGAGAGCGAATCAATCTCGATCAACTTAAATTGTGCTTACATGGACCGAGAAAAATAAAAGCTAACTTTGTTTTCACAATTTATATTCTAACCAGAATAAATTGAGCTCGTTCGTACTATTCGTCGTTTTATTTTTTCAAATTACTTATTTTCTTAACATCTTTAAACGTTTATGTTTATATGATTATCACAAGGATATGTAAATGATTTAGAATCTCAATAATAACATGCGATATCTTTATAATTATCTATTAAACAATTGTAGATCTCAGATTTGAGATCGCAAAGCAGAATAAAAGAACTCGGCAAAAACTTTTCGTAAAATCCGTGTATAATAGAAATTTTATATGTGGAGAAAGATTAAAAACTAGCACGTGCATCGTACTTAGTAGAGTTCAAATAAATTACAAAATTTATGTATGTTATTCACTTTGTAATTACTCGACAGATATCGTGCTAGATATCTAATCGTCGGAAATAAATAAAATATTCTTGTCGTGTGTATTTAAAATTGTTACAACGAGCACGTTTAATCCCGAATCGCGAATATTTTTTTCGAATAATTTAGAATTAATTAAATGGACAAAAAAATTTATAAACTTTAAAACGCTATTTATTGTGGAAATGCGTTGTCTTGTATCTAGTAATATTGATCATAAAATCAAATTGAAAACGGACAAGAGCGGCAGAAAAACTTGCAACACATTTATAGAAATATGCGATCAACGCTAAAATTATTTTCGTTCTCTTTAAGAAAACGATTGTAAAAATATCGAAACAAATAACTAACCTAGATAATTTTTGACATTATGTCAGAATACCGATCGTATCGTCGATTCGGTGAAACTTTTATCAACATACCGTAAACGCTAATATAACATTAATACCGCGTGTGCAGTGAGCGACAATGTTAATCTAAGATGCAAATTGCCATAGCATTTTATTTAGCAGCCAATGCACGAGACTTTTTATCGTATTTCAAATACTGCCATTTCTAATAGATGCGGAGCTACAGTGCTATAGTTTTACATTTTTACTCAAAAACAAAATAAAATTATGCAAAGATTTTTCAATTTAAGCAATCTGCAATCATCTTTTGATAAGCTCTTGCATTTAATGAAAGCTGCATTGTACAATTATGGATATTACATTGAAGTGTCATGAGTGTCATGAGCCAAATCAATCAATTCCATTCTTCGTACATTTTTTTAAATTTTGATATTAGAACACTAATCACGTGCTCTAATTTATTTATTATAAAAATCATCCGAAAAAAATACAATGACATATATTTTCTTACAAAGTTCATATAAAAATGGCAATGCAATTCTTGTCTTATCAATATATTATATAGTGTCAATTCGCGATTTTCTCTTGTTGAATGTAAAATTATATATTGTATATGTATGTGTATTGTATCATGTTATAATCTTTGGACGTCTGTTCTGCCTACATTGCAGTCGATGATGCGCTCGATGCAAAAGTCGGCAAACCTTCTCCACGGTTAGCGCTCGCGAGCTCATTTATTATTAACTCGAGTTATCGCATTTTCATAATCGGATACATGGAATATTCAACGATGCGAAACGATTCGCTGATGATTTTCTGTAATTAAATGTTACAGTATTGCGTTTAACACGTGTTTTTCGCGCGCGCGCGCGCGAGCCGACGAGATCGCAATTATCATGGGGCGACATTAATATCTACCGTATTTATTGCTCATAATTATTGCGACGCTATATTATTCGCGAGTAAGAATGGCGAATGAGCGTGCATTCGCACCGTCCAGCACGTGCATCATGATGGGATCGCGGTCTTTAATTTACACTCGCGATTAATTTGATAATGTTCGATGAGATGAATGAATAATTAAGTTGGCAATTGCCATATATGAGAACAAAGAATAATTAAATTCATGGAATTGCGAGATCGTGGTAATGTGAGTCCGCGATTTAATCTCGATGCGAGTCTGATTTCGGTGGAAAGGGAGAGGGGGGAAAAAGGCGCTATAGATATGAAAAGACTGGATTTTACATCCTGTTAATACATTGCGAATATTCTCTCGACATAAATTATCAATCCAAATGTCTTAAATATTTGACAAAGTCAAGTCGCGATTAAATAATTTTCCGCAACATTTAATCTCGAACTTGTCTCATTGGATATTACACTATAATTTTGCACAATAATTTTCTAATTAAATTTTGAAATGTAAAGAATAGCCGATCTTATATATTGGATGGTCTTAAATGCGATTAATGATCGGACGGAAATATCCAAAATTCTAACAACTATCTAAAGCATCTTGAAAGGCGATCACTTATACTTGGAATTCTGCGAATTCAGTTATTTCCACCGTTGATCACGGAATGCTCTTTGTGATCCAATGATCGAGAATAAACTCAGCCAATTTGATCCACATGTACTTCCTGCGTTTTAATAGCGACTGCTTGCAATAATCAAAACATGAAAAAAAAAAATTATTAAATCTCTTTTAAAGAATGAGAATTTTTGTGTTTGCTAAATTCATGTGAGTAATTATCTATATCATTCATCAAATATACATAACAATGTAATTTTATTTGGTGGAGAGAAGAAAAAAATTATATGAAAAATATACACACATATAGTAGAATATATTAATATTAATATTTAATTATATTATATATTTATTTTTACATAACTGTAAGTTATATATCAGAGGTTTGAAATCTTATTAAGAAAGTTAGAATATGAATATACCATCTTAAAAATTTTTCCAACAATTTAAATTCATCGAAGTATTCGAGTCATTAGGATTCGACGCGGAAACAGAACATATAAGAAAGTATTAACAAAATCCGTATGATTGCATCATTGCGGTTTTTTCACGATATAAAAGCACGCGTAATGTGTGATCGCTACTTTTTCAACTTTCCCAATTAGCGTGCGACTTCGACGAGAATCTCGTTGCAGCGTGCAACTTTGTTTACGATCGTCGTATCGATATATATATATATATATATGCAGTTTCAAGGGGGGAGGAGGAAGAAAAGAAGAAGTGTTGTACGTTCAAAGAACGATAAAAATTCGCATTATTAGAGAACGATAATATGGTGCAAAGATAGTCGATCTTTCTCTTTTCGATCCGCTCGCGTCCCGGCAAAATACGGTTTTTAATTAACGGCTCATGCATTTGCATGATTAGACCCTGAAACGTAGAGTTATATGCGGAATCAGCATTCCGTATGTCGAAAACGACCGCGACATTAACGCCGGGATTCCTTGTGAGCCCAACGCATATAACTCTGTCCCGACGACGTCGATGTTAAATATTTAAATGTTCGGTTTTTTCTCCTTCATATTCTTTGTGGGCATGCGTCTGCGCACGTCCACTTATGCAAGCGCGGTAATTAGAGCAAATGTATGCGTAATAAGTAATTAGCGACATGTTATGACGCTTTGTTTAACGCTTTGGCAACTTTTCTTTGACGTAAGTTGTCGTTAAACGATATAAAGCTTCTTGCGAACAACCGGCAATCTTGCAAAAGTGCTATTATATGATGTTGATAATCCATTAATGCGTGATCTCTGTTAATATGTTTTGAAAGATGTAAATATTGAAAAGGATTTTTTATTTATGATATAAAGACAGTTTCAAGCAGGCTACAGTCTGTAACAGACTATAGCAAGCAGACATTTTTGAAATTTTATAATTTTTTATAAAT